AATGATAATAATACTAATAATCATAATCATAATAATAACAATAATAATAGTAACAATGATAATAATAATAAATAATAATAATAATATAATAATATAAATAATAATAATAATAATAATAATAATAATAATAATAATAATAATAATAATAATAATAATAATAATAAAATAATAATAATAATATAATAATAAATGATATATATAATAATAATAATAATTATAATAATAAATAATAATAATAATAATAATAATAATAATAATAATAATAATAATAATATATATAATGATATATGATAATAATGATAATAATAACAACAACACCACCAACAACAACAATAATAATAATAATGATAATAATGATGATAATAATAATAATGATAATAATAATAATAAAGTAATAAGATAACAATAATATAAAGAATAACTTTAATAATAATGAAAATAATAACAATGATAATAAATAATAATATAATAATAATATAATGATAATGAGAAGATAAGAACACGAGAAACAACAGCAAATATAATGATATTGATAATGACATTAGAGAGAAAATATATCAACATTGCAGCATAACAGAAGCACCGTCGACGTAACGCACAAAATCACGTGCACATGACATGGACGTGATTGTGTGTGCTCTTCTCTTGCCTTAGAGCGATATGCAAAAGAAGGGGAAAAGGTAAGAGGGAAAAGTGGAGGAAAAAGATGATAAGAAGAAGAAGAAGGAAGGAGGAAAGGAAAGGAGGAGGAGAAAGGGCTGGGAAGGTGGAGGAGGAGAGGAGGAGGGAAGACGAGGAGAGGAGGGGGAAAGTAAGAGGAAAAATGGGAGAAGGAATGATGAAGAAGAAGAGAGGAAGGAGGGAGGAGGAGGAGGGATGGGGAAGGGGTGGAGGAGGAGGAGGAGGGAAAGACGAGGAGGAGATGGGGAAAAGGTAAGAGGGAAAAGAAAAACAAATGATGAAAAATAAGGAAGGAGGAAGGAGAGGAGGGGAGGAGGAGGAGAAGGAGGAGAGGAAGGAGGAGGGGAAGAGGAAGAGGGGAGGAGAGGGAGGATGGAGAGGAGGAGGAGGAGGGGGAGGATGAGGAGAGACGAGGAGGAGGAGGAGGAGGAAAGAAGAGAAGAAGAAACATGAGATGAAATGATGAAAAGTAATAATACGAAAGGAAGAGGAGGAGGAAGGAAGAGTGAGAGGAAAGAGAAAAAAGGAATAGAGTTACAGGAAGAGGAAGATGAAAGAAGAGTGAGAGAGAAAAAAAAACGAAAGTGAGAATAGAATCAGAAGAAGAGAAAGAGAAAAGGGGGAGAAAAAAGGTGGAAGGACAAGAAGAGAAGGACACGTAGAAGGCAATGATGAAAATGGTGATGATGATATAAAAAGAAGAAGAAAAATACAAAGAAGAGGAAGGAGGTGAAATTTTTTAAAAAGAAAGAAAAAAGAAGAAAAATACAAAGAAGAGGAAGATGAAACAAAAAATAATAATAAAATAAAAAAGAAGAAAGAAGAAAAAAGTAAGAGAAATGGGGTAAAGGGAAAGGAGATAAAGAGAAAAGAAAAAGAAAAGAAGAAATAGAGAACCAGAATAGCGAAAATGGGAGAGAGGCGAGAAGGGGGAAGAAAAGAGTGGCCAAAATCAGTATAAATAATTTCCAGGCGCTCAGCGGTATAGCTACGTGCGAAAATGGCGTCTCTCCTCCTTCCTCCTTCCTTCCTTCTTTTCCCCTCATTTCTCCTCCTACTTTCTCGTCTCTGTTCTCTCTCTCTCTCTCTCTCTCTCTCTCTCTATCTATCTATCTATCTATCTATCTATCTATCTATCTATCTATCTATCTATCTATCTATCTATTCTATCTTCTATCTATCTCTCTATCTCTATCTCCTCTCTCTCTCTCTCTCCTTCCCTCCCGTCTCTCCTTCCATCCAGACTTCCCTCTCTTCCTTCCCTCCTTTCTCTCCTTTCCCTCCTTCAGTTTTACTTTCTCTTGCTTCCTTACTCCCACGCGTTCCCTCCCTTCTTTCTGTTTCCTCCTTTTACCTTCCTCCTTCCTTTTCCTTCCCTCCTTCCCTCCTTCTTTCCCTTCCCTCCTCCCTCCTTCTTTCCTTCCTCCGTATCTCCTCTAGAATCTTCCTCCACCATTCCATCGCCCCTTTCCTCCTTCCCTTCTTCCCTCCTCTCCTCCTTCCCGTCTTCTCTCCTCCCCATCTACCCTCCAATCCACCTCCCCCTCCTTCCTTTTTTTTTCCTCCTTCCCCTCTTTCTCCTCCTCTCCCTTCCATCTACTTCCCCTCCTCCGCTCCTTCCCTCTCCCTTCCCTCCTTCCCTCTCACTTCCATCACACTTTCCCTCCCTTCCCTCCGTCCCTCTCCCTTCCCTCCTTCCTCCCTCTCCCTTCCATCCCACTTTCCCTCCCTTCCCTCCCTTCTCTCTCCTTCCCCTCCTTCCCTCTCCCTTCCTCCCTTCCCTCTCCCTTCCATCTCCCACTCCTTCCCTCCTTCCCCTTCCCTCCTTCCCTCCTTCCCTCTCCCTTCCATCCCACTTCCCCCTCCCTTCCTCCTCCTCCTTCCTCTCCCTTCCATCCCACTTCCCTCCCTCCCCTCCCTTCTCACTCTCCTTCTATCCTACTTCCCCTCCTTTCCCTCCTTCTCTCTCCCCGCTAAGTGCACTAACAAGCCTATTCATCCTGTTTCTAGCATGAATGTCCTCCGTTTCCCCTCACACGACTCCCCTCAGACCGAGGAGGAGACATTCACGGTCCTCCTTGTCCTATCCCCTCCTGCAGTCGTTACACACCTCCTCCTCCTACTCCTCCTCCTACTCTTCCTAATTTTCTCCTCCTCCCACGCCTCCTATTACTTTTCCTGTGCCTTCTCTTACTCCTCCTTCCCCTCCTTCCTTCTATTTTCTCTCTTCCTCCTCCCTCTTCTTCCTTCTCCCTGCCCCTCCTGCTACCTCCTCTTCCCTATCCCTCCTCCTCTTCTCTTTATCCTCCTTCTTCTCCCTCCTCCTCTTCTCCTCTCCTCCTCCTCCTTCTCCTCCTCCTCTCTCCTCCCTCCTCCCTTTCTTCTTCTCCTTCCTCCTCCTCCTCCTCCTTTCCTCCTCCTTCCTCCTCCTCCTCCTCCTCTCCTCCTCCCCTCTTCCTTTTCCTCCTCTCCAACTCTTCCTTTCTTTCACACTTGGAGGAACTCGACACTCCCATAGAGGAAATGGTAGAGCTTATACCTATACGACACCGAAGTAGACATAACAAAAGGAATTCAGAATAAATCAGGAGATAAAGAGAAAAAAAAACAGAAGTGAACACCATAACATCGCTCGGAAAAAGAGGCGTCGATGACCATTAATGTCACCATCATGAGGGACCTGGTGGCACCTAATGGCACTTATGGCACCTTATGGCACCTAAACGTCTGGCACCTTATGGCACCTAATGGCACCTTAACGTATGACCTTTTTTTTGTGACTCGACTCACCAAGAAAGGTCAGATTAGGAGACGTTTGGGCATGGTAGGGGGGGAAGGGGTAGGGGGAAGGGTTGGAGGGAAAGGGGTGGGTGGGAGGATGAGGTTGGAGTGGGGGAGGGGTGTGGGAGGGAGGGGTGAGGATGAGGTTGGAGTGGGGGAGGGGGTGACGGAGGGGAGGGGGGAGGATGAGTTTGGCGTGGTTTAGGGGGAGGGGGAGGAGAAGGGGGGAGGCAAGAGGAGGAGGGTAACTGTGGAAAAGAAGTTAATGAAATGATGTTAATGATATTAGTCGTGTTATCATTCACACAATTAATGATAAATGCGAGGAATAGTTTGCGCTTGAATGGCTTTAACCTTCATAAGCAGAATTCTAAAATTAATGATAATTACTATCATTACTACAACTACTGCTGTTGCTGCTGCTGATGATGATGATGATGGTGGTGATAATGATAACACTGGTGATGATAATAGTCATGATAAAAATTATGATGATGATAATTGATAATGATAGATAATTTGATAATAATAACAATGATAATGGTAATTAATATGATAATATGATGTATGATGATAATGATAATAATGATTATCATTATTTTTTATTATCATTGCTATTCCTACTATTACCATTATACTATTATCATGATAATAATAATAATGCTAATGATAATAACAATAATAACAATTATTATTATAATAATAATGATGATAATAATAATAATTATCATAATAATAACAATGATAACAATAACAATAATAAAGATAGTGATAATAACAGTACCATTGATAATGTTAATGACAATAATAATATTTAAAAAATGACAATGCTTGTTTTGTTTTACTGTTTCTCTCAATGTACATGTTATCATATGCATACTTTTTAAATTCTTTTTTTGCAAGTAAATATTTATGTTTGTTTTTCAAAGAGAGAGAACGATATACATTTTTTTCTTACCAAGCAAAAAAGTACACAACAACAAGCAAAAGAAGTACAACACGCAAACAAGTACACAAGAAGCAAAACCAGAACGAACAAAAACAACAAATAAAAGAAAAAAAAAGGAAGGCCAGAGCGTTATTCCTTCCGCCACTGTGTAATATAACCATAAAACGCGAATAAATGGCATCATTTTAACATGCAGTTGATGTGTAATGCGATACTCTAAATTCCGCTTAACAGAATAATGTAATTGTTATAACTTTTATACTCTGGTCCCCCTTCTCCCCCTCCCCTTCCTTCCCCCCTTTCCCCTTCCTCTCCCTCTCTTTCCCCTCTCCCCCTCCCTTTCCCCTCTTCTTCCCTCTCCTCCCTTTCAACCTCTCCCCTCTCTTTCCCTCTCCCCTCCCTTTCCCCTCCTCTCTCACCCTCTCTCCCCCCTCGTCCCCCTCCTTTCCCCGTCTCTTTCCCCCTCCCCTCGCCCTCCCCCCCTCCTCTCCCGCTCGACTTCCTCCCCCCTTTCCCGCCTTCCCTCTCTTCCCCCTCCTTTCTCCCCCCCTTTTCCCTCTCCCCCTCTTCGCCCTCCCCCCCTTTTTCCCCTCTCCCCCTCCCTTCTCCCCTCTCTTTCCGTCCCTGACCTGAGTTGTCGTGCCGTCCCTCGAACTTCCACGCACCCCTTCCCTTCAGTTGGGGTCTCTCTATGTCTCTCTCTTTCTCTTGTCTTCTCTCCCCTCTTTTTGTCTCCCTGGTGTTATTCCTCCTTCTATCCTCCTGCTTTTTAAGCTTCTCCCTCTCTTTCTCCCTGGTCTTGCCCTTCCTTCTACCTCCCTCCTTTTTAAGCCTCTCCCCTCTGTTCTCTCTCCCCGTTCTCATATCTCCCTCTTCCCCCTCCGCCCCTTAAGTCACTCCCTCTACTCCCATCTAGCCTTTCCCTCTCTCCCTACCTCTCCCCTTCCTTTCTAGCCCCTCCTCCTCTCCCTGTGGACTCCCCTCCCTCCTCTTGCCTCCCTTCCCCCTTCTCTTCTAACCCCCCCCCCCCGTGGCTCCCCTTCTCCGCATCTATCCTCTCCCTCTCCCTCACCCTCCAAGTCTCTCTCCCACTCTCTCCCCTCTCCCCTTCCCCCTTACTCTTTCCTTCTATCCCCACCCCTTCCCCACCCCTCTCCTCTCTCCCTCTACCCTCCCCCTTCAAGCCCCACTCTCCCCTCGCCTTCTACCCCATCCCCGCCTCTCCCACCCCTCCCCTTCACCCCTTTCCCCCTCCTCTTCCCTTCCCCCTCTCCCTCTTCCCCCCCTACGAACCCTCTCTCCTTTACAAACATTCCCATAAAAGATATATAACTAAATACGTCACCATAAGCCATCGGGCGCAGCGGGGATTATCAATGCAGGAAAATAAGCAAATATAACGTCCTATTTTGATATGTTTGAAAGGGGATCGATGGTCGGCGAGGCGGGGAGGAGAGCCAGGTGCCATTTGAGAGCTTCTTCTTATTCTTATTCTTCTTTTCTTTTTCTTTTCTTCTTCTATTTCTTCTTTCTTTGTTTTTTCTTTGTTTTTGTTTCTTCTTCTTTCTTTTTGTTTTTTTTTTTTTCTTATTTTTTCTTCTTGCTTCTTTTCTTGTTCTTCCTTTTTTCTGCTCCTTTCTTTTCTCTTACTTCTGTTTCTTCCTCTTTTTTCTGTTCTTTCTATTTTTTTTTCTTCTTTTCCCCTTCTTCTTTCTTCATCTTTCTTTTCTTCTTCTTTTCTTTTTTTATGGCTTCTATTTTCTTCCTTTTCTCTTCGGGCTTTTTTCTCTTCTTGCTTCTTTCTTTCTTTTTCTTCTTTTTCTTCTTTTTCTTCTTCTATTTTTCTCTTTTTCTTCTTTTCTTGTGCGTCCGCTTCTTTTCTATTGAATGTACTGTCTCTGTACTGAGAATGTAAGGTTAGTGCGGATACGTACATGCAATTTCACATAGCCGGACACTCTCTCTGATGTCTCTTTTTTCCCTCATTCATTCTATTCTATCTGTCTGTCTGTCTGTCTGTCTATTTGTCTATCTCTCTATCTATCTATTTATTATCTCATCCTCCTTCTCTCTCTCTCTCTGCTCTCTCTCTAATCTATGCATCTTACCTCTCTCTATTTATGTATCTATCTATCTAATCTATCTATTCTTTCTCCCTCTCTCTCCCTGCTTCCTCATCCCTCCCCAATTCCCCTCTTTCTCCTCCCACCCACCCTGATCCGTCCTATCCCTCCCTCTCCCCTCCTCGCTCCCATCTTTCCCCCCCTCCGCTTTCCTCCCTCGCTCCCTCCCTCGCTCGCATCTCCCCCCTCCCTCCCCCTCCCGCCCTCCTCCTTACCTCCCTTCTGCATCCCGCTCCCTCTTTCCCCCCCTCCCTCGCCCTCCTCCTTCCCTACCCCTCCTCCCTCACAACCGACTGCCACAACACACTCCATCACGGCCGTCACACTACAAGGCTGTCAGAGAGAGGGGGAGGGGTAGGGGGAAGGAGAAGGGGAAGAGGGGGGGGTGAATGCTGACGAACCTGTATAATGTTGTGTCAGGTGGACGTGCTGACGCGCGGGCCCGCTTCCGCAGCTAATTTGAATTCGCATTAACAAACGATTTAATGTATATTTATGGAATTACCGCGCTTCCTCTTCCCCCTCCCCTCCTCCCCTCCCTCCCCTCCCCTTCTCCCCTCCCCCGTTACCCTACCCCAACGCCACGAACTATGACCCCCCCCACCCCCTCCCTCCCCCACACCCACCCTGAGCTATGAACTGTGGTGAATATTTTCATGATCATTTCTGTCATGATAGCAATTACACCTCTGACACACACAATCAATCTCGCACTTACACGTGGGAACGCGTACATACACAACCACGCACACATAGGTACATAGGTATTAAGAAAAATAATCCATGTACATAACAAAAAAAATGGACAAACAAACAAACACATTCACAAACAACAACACATAACAGAACGTCATAGAAACGTATATGGAACAAATAAAGGCGGAGATACACAGCGCTTACGTCGACACACTTCCACATGAATATATCTAAATATTTTACTACACAGGTACACACACACGCGAGCGT